AAGAGAAAGAAAGCACCAGGCCCAGATTGTGTTACACCAGCCTGTCTGAAATCCTGTGCTGACCAGCTGGCCACCATCTTCACACAGATCTTCAAAAGATCACTGGAGCTGTACGAAAAGTCCCTTCATGCTTAAAACGCTCCACCATCATCTCCATCCCAAAGAAATCTAAAATTACAGAACTAAAGGACTACAGCCCTGTGGCTCTAAAGTCTGTGGTCATGAAGTCATTTGAAAAACTGGTGCTGGCCCACCTGAAGGACATTACTGGACCCTTGCTGGATCCTCTTCAGTTTGCCTACAGAGCAAACAGGTCTGTGGACGATGCAGTCAACATGGGACTGCATTATGTTCTGCAACGGCCAGGCACAGGAACAGTTTCTTCCCTCAGGCAATCCATCTTATGAACACTTGACAATAATTGTGGAACACACAAAACTGTTTATACACTTATATACTTATCTAACTCACATACTTAGTATACATTTTGAATTTGCACATAATATACCTGTACTTACAAAACTGTCTATTGTAATATACCTGTACCTACAATTGTCAATCTGTATAGTGTTATTCCCTATTTACTTGTTCTATTTTTATTCTTTTATTATCTGTTTTTGTCCTGTCACTGTCATTCTGTTGAACTGTGGAAGCTTCTGTCACGAAAACAAATTCCTCGTATGTGTAAACATACCTGGCAATAAAGCTCATTCTTACTCTATTATAACAGTTTCTTCCCTCAGGCAATCCATCTCATGAACACTTGACAATAACTGTGGCACACACGACACTATTTACACACCCATACACTTATTTATCTAACACACACACTTAGTCTACACTTCAAATTTGCACATAATATACCTGCACATACAATTGTCAATTTATATATTGTTATTACTTATTTATATTTTTTTATTCTTTTCTTTTATTATCTGTGTTTTTGTACTGTCGCTGTCATTCTGTTGCACTGCGGACTTCTGTCATGAAAACAAATTCCTCGTATGTGAAAACATACCTGGCAATAAAGTTCATTCTGATTCTGATTCTGAATGAATTACCCGAGTCTGTGCATCTCTGAGCAGTGTTCAGTAGCAGCGTCTCTACTAATAGTGAAACTGTTAAATAGCGAAAAGTTCATCTTCTTCAAGAGCAGCGCAGTTATTACCTCGCTTGTGAGAAATGTCATGTAGCTTTAAATTGCTACGCTATTTTACTGATAAAATTGTCAGAGCAGCACTGACAGCATGTTTCCGTTGTGCGTGTATGTATGTTTCCGTGTGTGTCCGTATACTGTATGTGTGTGTGTTTGTAAGGGAGAGATAGCAGGAGAACGAGAGTATTGCTTTCCGTACATAATGAAACATATTTTAGTTTCCACAGAAACAATTTGTCTTTTTTTATCATATCGTTTACTATATTTATTTGTTTGGACAGTGTTGTGGGTTTATGTTCTTTTGCTGTAAAATAACTGAAATCATTTGGCAAAGTGATATGGACATGTAATGCGGTCAAGTCCTGCCTGGAACTACTTTTGCCATGCATTTCCCTGAAAATAACTGCACACATTAGAACGTTCTTCACCCAATCAACATTGTCAAGTCAAGTCAAGTCAAGTCTGCTTTATTGTCAATTCTTCCACATGTACAGCACATACACACAGAGAATTGAAATTGCGTTACTCTCAGACCCTTGGTGCATACAGATAACATAAATACAGATAGGTACAGATTAAATACAAAATACAACTATACAAATATACAAATAAGGTAAAATGTAAAAATATATCTATATATATAAAGCACAAGGCATATGGCAGATAGAGTGCAAACCAGTAAAAGTAAAACAGTGCAGTAATTATAGCTTTTAAAAAAAGTGATTACATTTATGTTAAGAAATACTTTAAGGTACTAATATGCTTTAGGGGTAAATAATGCCCCAGGTCCCTGCACCAGTGACAGCTTTTGTACCTTTTTTAATCAACAATTATGACTTGTCATAATGCAGCTCTAACAGAACCTATCAAACCCAAACAGAAATGCATCTCAACAATCTGATCTTTGACAACGAACTGAGATTTACACAAATAAAAGTGATGTAACTCAGAACTGACATCACACGATTACTATGCCCTTAGTGTGTAGGAACGTACAGTGATAGCTGGTGCAGTAACGGTAGCTGGTATAATTTCCTAAGGCATGTTACACCCACTTCTGGCAGCTCCCTTATTAAACTCATAAACCAGCAGCTAATCCAACCAGAATGCAAAATACTGTCCCTTAAATTTCCAAAACAATGCAATTCTTTTTTTGTAAGCTTGAAAGGTTAGTTCACCCAAAAATGAAAATTAGCTTGTGTTTTACTCACCCTCGAAGCATCCTAGGTGTATAGACTTTCTTCTTTCAGACGAATCCAGTCAGAGTTATATTAAAAATTGTCCTGGCTATCCCAAGCTCTATCATTGCAGTCAGCGGATGTTGCAGTTCACAACAGTCCACAAGTCGTCAAATAAAGCTTGCGCATTCATAATAAAACGTGCCGCAGACTGCTCCGGGGGATGAATAAAGGCCCCCTGTAGCGAATCCATGAGTTTTTGAAAGAAAAATATCCATATTTCAAACATAATAAAAACTTTTCTCTCACTTCCGTTATATGTCTTACGCGGATCCGTTTCGGCGGAAGGCGTATGACGTATGAGCAGCGCACGAGCCTCTGAGATATGCTAGTCTCGCGAGTTTGTTTAATAGGAGCAAAGGAAGTAAAGTTTCCTTACTTTAGCAAAGGAAAACCAGTCTCTCCTCTTGGTTTATATCGAAATCCTCCGACATTTTTCTTTGCAAATCTTCGGTTTGTACTTCTAATTCGTGACCAGCGTTTTGTTTTGTTCTCTCTCCGCATTCGTCACTAATCACGCAACGCCGCGCGTCTTACGTCATCTGCCGGAACGGTTTCAGTGTATGACAGTCAGCAGAAGTGAGAGAAAAGTTTATTACGTTTGAATTATGGATATTTTTCTTACAAAAACTCATGGATTCACTACGGGGGTCTTTATTCATCCCCCGGAGCCGTCTGCAGCACATTTTATTATGAATGCGCGAGCTTTATTTGATGAATTGTGGACGGTTCAACTGCAACACCCACTGACTGCAATGATAGAGCTTAGAATAGCCAGGAGAATTTTTAATATAACTTCGACTGGATTCGTCTGAAAGAAGAAAGTCATAAAAACCTAGGATGCTTCGAGGGTGAGTAAAACACAAGCTAATTTTCATTTTTGGGTGAACTAACCCTTTACGGCATGAAACCGTCAAGGTCAGTATCTTTCTTCAAAAAGGAAGTGGGTAAGAGGTTGAGGACAACAAAACATGTCAGTTCAATATTGTGGTTTTATCTGTGAAAATTTAACAAACACTGTAGCTGAATAAACAGTCTAGCACATTTCACTCTAGGTTCACTTGCTTCAAATATAATGCGGATCTAAATTATCACAAACCATAAATCCAATTTTTGGGATTAAACAACCTTTCTTAATCGCTGTGAGGCAAAAAGGAAGTTGTCTTAAGTAAGCTGAACATCGTTCCTCTTTAACATTGCAGTAGTTCCCTGATCTAATTTTTCAGATGACACATTCTTCGAAAAAAATGCTGACATGCAATCAGAAATCTTTTTTTTGGAATTTGTTGTAACAATGTCCCCGCCTTTTACTCTCACAATGAGCTTATCATATTCGTTTGAACATAAGTAGGGCCCAATGATTTCCGCGATGCAGAAAACATGGACAGAATCGTGGAATCCAGTCATAAAAACGGAATATACTGTATAACGCTGAATTTAATGGAATTTGTCTTATTTTTGATGAATAAATAAAAAACAGGTCAGAACATATATATAGACTGTGTCTGTGAATATTAAACTGCAAAAAGACTTATTTAAATACGAATCCTCATGTTCTGCACGTTCATTTGATTACCAGAAAATACACAACACAGAATTTGTGAAAACATATTAATTATTATTATTTATTCATTTTAGATGTTTACATTTGGAAAAGCTGTGCTTCCCGCATAAACTTGACCCTGTTGGATTGGCAGCAGCTTGCTTGCCCTACACAGTTACATTGCTTAATTTCTTAATTCAAGGTATAAATATTTTGTTTTATTTGTGGTTTTTAAGTTATTTATAATAAGTAAAGTGAAGTTTACTTTTAAGTGCACTGATGTCAGATTCATTTTGAATGATAAAGTTTATTGTTAAATATCCTGCCTCCACTACATAGGCCTATGTTTGTCACATCATTATAAGTGTTTAATCACCATATTTGAGTTATCATTGCAAAAAATGTGTTTATGTATATATATATTATGTTTAAGTAGGCTGTATACTGTATTCTATATACAGTACCATTCAAAAGTTCGGACACACGAATGGGAAGGGTGTCCAAACTTTTGAATATACTGTACTATATTATAGCCTACACAAAGAATATAGGCTGATATATCGATATCGGTCATTTTTTTACTCCCTAATATCGGTATCGGCCCCCAAAACACCCTTATCGGTTGGGCTCTATTTTTGATTCACTTAAAACAACCAGCTCCTAAGAGAGATGATTCAAACTAAACTGGATGCGTTGCTATTGCTTCCATAATAAGGCACTAACTCCTTTAAAATCCTTTATTCATGAATCGCACTAAACTGGCTGAATGTTTGTATGTGCATGCATCCCACTATTATTTTTTAAGTACACGGTTTCATTTGATTTCTTTTGCTGAATATGGTGCAGTGTTTGTCACTCTTATCTCTTCCTGTCTAACTCTGTGGTTCTTGGTCAGAATAAGCTGTAAAATGAACCCGCATTGATGCTGATTGTGACTACACAAAATACTTGGAGACTGCTAAACCAATTCAATGATAACAACATTGGACATTGAACTTGGACATCACTTGTCATTGGACTGTCTCCAGTTTGACAAGGCAGATAAGACACTGATTCTGAGCATGTACAGTGGGGCAAATAAGTATTTGATACACTGCTGATTTTTCAAGTTTTCCCACTTACAAAGAATGGAGAGATCGATTCGGTCTCTCACAGTTGAGGTTTACCTACGATGAAAATTACAGATCTCTCCATTCTTTGTAAGTGGGAAAACTTGAAAAATCGGCAGTGTATCAAATACTTATTTGCCCCACTGTACATGAATCACAACCTGAAATGCAAGAAAAACACTTAAAGGTACAGTTCATCCAAAAATTGAGATTTTGTTATCTTTACTCACCATCAAGTTATTCCAAACCTTCTTTCTTCTGTTGAACATACTGATTTCCATATGTAAAATGCTATGGAAGTCAATGGGGACCAGATGTTGGTTACCCACATTATAAAAAACATCTTCTTTTGTGTTTAGCAGAAGAAAAACTCCTTTGGAACAACCTGAGAGTGAGTAAATCATAGAATTTTCAATTTCAGGTTGAAATCGATTTCCCTTCTGAAGTCACAAAGTCCTATGAAAGCCATCATAAAATATCCAGGCTAAACATTCCCAGAGACTCATTCTGCCATGTTCAGTTTGACACCCCATATGCCCTGGTCTGGCCGTCTTCCCTGAGCTCTTTTATTCTCTGACGTCCACTAAGTCAGTATTAAAGAACAGCGGCTCTCTTGCACACTAAGAAGAAGATTTCCACCTGTGTTGATGCATAATCACTGGCCATGCCAAAACATGACCTCAACTCCAGCTGCACACAGAATGAAAAAGGCCTTTTTGCACCACATTCTCTGCAGATTTAACACCTGCCGCATAGTGTCTTCCTCCTTGAAAATGTTCGCATCTTCACACTCACATTTTCCTCTTGTGGTAGCAGAGATGGTGGCACATGTACAAAAACTTCACAACTTGCAGCACACCCTGGTGTGCTCTCTTACTGAAAACACACAACTCTGATGGTGCCACTTTCACATCTCAATATGCACACTAAAAAAACGCACAGACTCAATATGAATGTGATGATGAACAGCCTATTCTGCTGCATTACACAAACATTTTTCAAGTACATCAAAGTAGACTTGTGACCGACTTGATTGAATCTTTTAAGCCTAAAGATGCCCTTACACTATCTCCAACTTTGGCGTATGACTGTTGCATTTCACCTCTTAAAGGCAGGTACACAGAGAGCTTTTAAAACTGTCGTGATGCAGCCCTCCGCTTATTCACCCTAGACAATTAATAAATAATGAACACACAAATCAAATGACCGGCAATGGACCCTTTTCACATTACTGTCACTCCATCATGCAGTGACAGCAGTGTTAACCAGTTTTCTGTTATTTAATGCCAAGGTAATAAAACAAAGTATAGGGCTGTACATGTACACTTTAAAAAATGGCAAAAATAAATAAATAAAATAAACCTTTGTTAACAACGTTAATAACATTCACAGCCTGTGAAAAGGGTCCATATGTTTTAACAAACATTTTGCATACGCAGAAGAACACCCTGCAGATTTCGCCAGTAGAAATGAATGACTTATGGTCTTTGTTTGTTGGTGGCTATATTTGTTCTAAATGATCTGCTGAATCATAAAACCCACTCCGGCTGCCACAGAGGAACAAAGGACTTCCTAAAGCATCATTATCAGAAACTCAAAAGGGTGTGGGGCTGATGAACGGCCTGACTGAACTTCCAACAATCCCACTGACCCCCAGCCAATGAAGACATTTCCCTTTCTTTTCTGTCTTTAAGCCATTTTCAGTCCAAAACAAAAAGTACGACGACTACAGAAGTAGACTAAGCCTAGTTCAAGACTACAGGGATTTTCGATGTAAACCACCCCTGACAGAGTGGTTTAATCCATGTTTAGTCTTAATCTGCACTGAAGTAACAAACTGACATGGTTTTAAAAGATAATCTGAAAGTTTACAGTGCTCTGATTAACTGAAGTTGATTGCTCTGATTTTAAGGTTGCTCAACCAGTACTGTTTCTGTAAACCTTAACCTTAAAATGTAATATAAAATAGCACAATTAAACATATGTAAGGAGCATATTATATATAATCCATAATAAATTATTAATTTATTGATTTTACATATACTTGAACTCACTGTCAGGGGCATTTTTCCTTAAATTACTACTTTATATTATTTTCACATTCAGCAACCGTTAAGACAACAACTACAGATATCTACAGATAGAGGTGTCAAACCAATATTTTCAGCCCTATATTTTATATATCGGGGTCATTTTGCCCCCAAAAGGATGTGCAGATTTATTAGACAGACATACAGGGGGAAAAAATGATCTTCTGAGAGAGTGTATCTAATAGGCAAGCATGACAAAATATCTAATAGGTTATGACACAAAAAATAACTGCAATACTTACTGTTCGATATCAGAACATACAGAAACACAACTAACAGTTACTCAGTAAATATATACATATTTCACCGCAACTACGCGACATAACTCACACATTACAAGCTCCGAAGCGTTCTCTCGCGTTTACAGTCCAGACAACCTCGTTTATTTGAATGGCAACGTTCTAATTTGTGCGCAGTCGCGTGCAGGCCCACCTCACCCGCGACGTAAAACTTCAAACAACTCAATTCAACCCAACAATACCTTTCCATTCGGTCTCGCACATACTAAAACATAAACATATTTCAGAAGAAAACTACGCGAACGGCGACTGTTTGAAGGACTAACTAACTACACAGACAGCGGATGAAAAAAGACAACACCCAGAATGAAAGTAAGTCAAAGCTGCAAACTTACTTGAGTTTTCCAGGACAAACAATCCGCTTCAACTATTCATTCATGCATTTTCCGTTGTGGTTTCCAGTTCTGATGTGGCTGAGAGGATGAAGGTAACTCGTAAAGCCGTTTTCAGTGGTTAATCTGCGGCGGTTTGGAGTAGTTGAGGGGGTTTGCGGAGGAATCCTGCTCGCGGTGAGTGCTGTCGCAGGCGCAGCTCGGGCTGGAAGTTCCTGTTGCGCTCTACAGGGAAATTGAACAGGAAACTCCAGCGCCGCAGTACAGTGCACTTCCAGCAGGGGGCGTTCAGGATCACAGTCCTTCAGGAAAAATCCGCACTAAACAGCCGTCAGTGTAAAAGCGGGATTTAGAAATGTGAAATGAGACCCTGCGTCCCAATGTGCATACTACCCACCCTATCTGCCCTAAATAGTATTGAAAATGACTAATTTCACATAGAATTTAGGATGGATAATATGCACAATGGGACGAAGGCATCGTTTTCATCGTGTGGAATCTAGTGTGAAATGTAAATATTGAAATATCCACATTTTATCTCGTACATTCTACTTTATTTTTTGCTTTTACATTTTCCTGTGTTCATCCATTTAATTTATTTCCTTACCTCATCCTATTTTCCACCTTTGTGTATTTCAGTGCAATATTTCGTGTTAGAATATTGAAACATGCCTTTGTAACATTTTGTTGCAGTCTTACTCACCAAGGCTGCATTTACCGGTATTTGATCAAAAATACAGTTAAATACTAATTTTGTGAAATATTGTTTCGATTAAAAATTTATTTATTCTTCTGATGGCAAACCGGAATTCTCAGCAGCCATTACTTCAGTGTCACTTTAGAAAAAATATTTGTAATCTATATTATTTTTGTGGAAATCGTGATATATTTTTTCAGCATTTTAAGATCAATAGAAAGTTAAAAGAACATTATTTATTTGAAATTGAATTTTTTTAAACAATGTAAAAGGTTTTTCAATTTAATGCATCCTCACTAAATAAAAGTATTTTCTTTTTCTTTTTTAAACTGAATTCAAACTTTTGAACTAGCGTATTAAAAAAACAAGTATGAGGCAGAATTGTATCTCAAAGTAATGGCAATTTAATTTAAAATATGCGATCCATTCAGCACAATGAAAAAGGCCTTAAGCAACCACAACACATACAAATATAGGCTTGAACTGCATACAAATGTAGCGTACAATTTTCAGTTAGTTTATATTATGTACAATATTCAAACTTGAGTTTTAAGGTTTTCTTTTCACTGTTGAATGTAATATACATAATTAGATCACCTGCAAATGAAATTGCTTTTGTCATGTGCGCTTCTCATATCCCACTGCATGTAGAGGACACTTACGTTTACATCCGAAATATTGAGCCATAACACAGGCCAACAATGTTGAAATACAAACAGTCAGATTGTCCACAAAACATTACATGAAGTATCTTGATGCAGCAACTGTGCTGTAGACAGTAGACAATTTAACACAAGTTTCACTGTTTACAGACACAAAGTGCTACTTCTGTACCATTGTAGTGCTATTGTGATTTTGTCTCTCTCTATGATGTTAGATCTCCTGGTAGAGACAAACAAGAACAGTACAGTAGCCGTCATGCAGCAGTACAATAAATAATCTGTCTTGTGTTCAGTGCTCTGGATTGAATCCATGTTCAATCTGTTAACACTGTTCAAATCCAGCCATTAGCGACAATGCCAGGGACTCCACTGTAAAAGAAAACAGGAACATATGGTGAGTAAAGCAAAATATTTATGGCTTCACTCATTAATCATTGAAAAAAGAAAAGTTTTTTAAAGATGTTATAATGTAATTAGTTTTTGCATTGGGACATTTGTTTTTTATTCTCAATGGTGATTCTTACTGTATTTTAATAACTAATGATTAACTCTAAATATTTATATAAATAAATAATCTGTAATAATCAGTAAATTAAAGTTAATACAACAAATAGCACCAGTACTTTACAGTATTTCCATAATGTACTGCTCTTGTTTGCATTACTGTAAATTGTTATTTGGCGTTAAATACAGACGACATCTGAACAGGGTTAGTGAGATTCACTCAGTTATTTTAAAATGCACAGCACTGTATGACTTACAATGAGGAAATGAGCCTCTGCACACGGCCTTGTTTAAAATAGTCACCAGAAACATGTGACAGTTTTTAAAGTCCGACTCCATTTTGTCAATCGACTCGATTCTGAGGGGAAGAAAGGAAAATATTTAACGAATGGTAAAATCCAAAAAAGGAAGTAAAACCTCATCCTCATCAAAATGAAGTGAAAGCTGCAAGATGAGGACAAGTAGCTAGACCTGAACATCTAAAGAGATTCCAAACATGATGTAAGAGTTTTGAACTTACTTCCAGGCCCCAAAACCAGCCTGCCATCTGTCTGAGAAGATGAGAACTAAATTCAGCACTTTCATGATGGCCTCCTTGACAAAACTGACCTGCAAAGACACAGTAACTTGAATTGATACATCGAACATAACATAGACGTCTATAACGGTTTAAAAGTAAAAACTAGGCCAACCATCATGGGGATGACAGCTTACTGAATTAATAAGAAAAACTGCAATTGTAGCATGCAATTTTATGCAAAAATGAACCAAAATCGCTTTTGTTGGTTTCTTTTGTATTTTTGACAGACACTTTTTTTTGCCTTGTATATATCCCGCTTACTTTCTCTCTGAGCAGACATCTGTCATGAATGGTGGACAGGTATCGGTAGTGGATTTTGATGAGCTGGTCCAGATCCTTGGCCTCTTGTACTTGGTGTTGAAATTCTAGACCTGTACTATGCAGGATCTGCGAATGAAATGTAGCAAGGTGCATGTCTACAAGGTAAGAAAGTCTGAACTCAAATAAATAAATACATATTTTATGTATATCAGACCTACCCTTGTCATAATGTAGTTATGCAGGCTGTTGACAAAGTGCATGAGTTTGACCCTCAGGAGAAACATCCTGTGAATCTGCTGGTTTATGGGCTCTTTGGCTGTGCTTTCCTCAGACTGGCCTCCTTCTTGCCTCTTAGCGGCGACTGTCAAATCTGTGGGAAGACTCTATATTAAGATCTTATCTTAACTAGTGAATTGAAATCATCCTGATTTGAAAGTACTGTGATCGCTGAACTAAAATGAGATACAATGGAACTATGAAGTTACATAAATACGAAGTACATCGATATCTGACTTCCATTTAATTGCATATCCTTTTTGTAATAATATCCACTAGCTTTACTTCTCTCTCTCCTTTTATGACAAATAAACAGAAGTAATGAAAACTTCAGAAGAGAAATCATAACTCACCACTGAATCGTAATGTGTCCAGGCTATATTTGGCCCATTTGATCTGAAGCAGCAGTAGGAAGACCTGATTGTAGATTTTCTGACACTCTGAACTAATAACAATATCAACAGGCCATGGAACCTGGTGAGAGAAAATAAAAAAGCATTCATATAAAATGCAGAATTTAAACAAAAAACTATGATAAAATTATTGTGTTATTACAATCTTCAAACCATAAAAAGCAAAACATTTTATGTTACCTTATAACTCAGCGTGAGACCATCAAGGTTATTCACTGGCTGTTTTTTTCTTGCAGGGTCAATAGTTTCAAGAAATATAGACAACCTGGAATCATAAGAAAAATGTGAGTCAGAAAAATGAACAACCACAGGATACGGAGTGGTATCAAGCAGGGTTGATTGGTAAACCACAGGATCTCTAGAGATTCATGTGCAGTACCGGCTGCTGTCCTCTGGGTGGCGCTGTCCAACAGCCTCTTGAAGCTGCACATTGAGGAATGCCAGCTGCTGCCAGCTCTCCTTCTCCAGAACTTTGTCAAAGATGGCTGTGTAGAAATCATACATAGTATCCCCAGCCTCCAACAGGAAGTAGTTTCTCATGGCCTGCAAGTACCCAAGAAGCCTAAGATAAAAATTGAGAGGGTTAAGGATAAATGCGCTACAAAGCAACATTGGGAAGTTCATGCACAAAGGATTCAATCTCACCTGTAGTCTTTTTTCAGGGTTCTCATGAGGTTCCCACAGCATTCGATGTATCTCCTCTCAATATGTGGATACAAACAGGAGCGGAGCGTAAGCTCAAACGTCTGACATGTCACAGACTCAGAGGAGCGGTCCAAAATTACATTGCTGCCAGAGAATTTCTCATGGAAGTCATTCTGCTCTAAATAAAGCCTGCAAGAGATAACACACATTACCTCAGTGGAAAACAAGCTAATGAAATTGTGACTGAACAAACATAGTTTAGTGTCTTTATATAATAACACAAATCTATTTTTAACATCTTTGCTCTTTGTGTGAACTTCAGTGACCTCAAATCATTTATTCTGTATTCTGCTGTTACCTTGCAAAATTAATGGCCAGCAGGGGGTCATGGATGTCGTCCAGCTCCAGATGACGTGCTACAATGGACTGCATCTTGATCAGACTCTTCTTAGTGGCCTGTTGCTCGGTAACCGTATTGGTGGGTGAGTCTTCTCCATGCCGAAGACGTGTCTGCACCGATTCCAAAAAGAGCGTGTAAAGACTCTTTCTTTCGGCATCTGCAGAGAGACACAATTCATTCATCATTATTCACTCATTCATCATTAGTCAGAAATTTTAAGACATAGTAGGCTATAAGAAACATAAAAATTAAGTAAACGTACTAAAACACAAAAACAAAATGTTATCATTAATGAAAATGTTACTAATATAAAAACTTGAGCATGCAACAAAAAATAAACTGAAACTAGAAAACAATATGGATGAAGATAACGAAATAATAACGATGCAACAATCTCTATGAAACACTGTAAAGACCTTACAAATTAAATTAGCCTCTCATTTAACTTAATGGTTCTTAACTTTTTTGACTCCAAGGCCCCTTTTGTCTAAGACAAAATTTGAAGAACCAGCATGTAGGGCTGTGTGATATAGCTACAAAATGTATCAACGATATAATGTTTCATATCATTCGGTATCGATAATTGAAATTTTTATAACCTTTTTTAGGTGTACTGTCGATAAATACCAATACCGTTTTATCACCCAGGCCTACCAGCACATAAGCCATGACATTTCTTGTATCTGCTTTAATGACAGCTGCTTGTTTTCAAAAAAAAAAAAAAATTTAAATAAATTAGGAGTATCAAAATAAAATGAATGGGAAAAAATGGGAATATATCACAAAAACATTAAAGGGGTCATATGATGCTGCTAAAAAGAACATTA